GTTGAGGGCTTCTGGGGGAACCCATCACCTTTTTTGGGGAGCTGGGCTCCTCGTAAATCAAACCCTGGCTGAGAACTATGTCAGGGGTGCTGAGCTAATAATACATGAAGGATTGCGTTGAATAGATCAGTTCAACTAAACATCTTGTGTATTAAACATTTTTGAAAATTTAATAAATTCTCATTTTCAAATATGTGATAAAATGTGATGAAAAAACACAGCAGCAGAATAAATTTTCACTTTAGACTCTGCTCTGTGGTGAGTTGTGCTATTTTTAGAAAATGCCTGTGGGCAATGCTCCTTGTATGTTTTCTTGGGGTCACCACAGGTTGTGACCACTGGTTTAAGCCAAGTGCATGTGTTCATTGGTAGTCGTAGCAGGGATGTTGCAGGAATTAGATGCTGCAATGTGGTGAAGGTTTAGGTTAGAAAACAAGGAAAAAATATATGTTTCTATTATTTCACAAGAGACAGTGCTGCAGTACACTGGCTGAGAAGCAGACAAGAAAGCCCTGGAAGGGATGATGAAGTTAGCTCAGAAAAATCCCCTACCCTTCCCACTCTGGCAGGTTCATGAGGGTAGAGACTCAGAAAAACTGGCGAAAAAGTTTCCATCCACGGGCCATCACTCTTGAAAGAGAACTTTTAAGGAGTCTGTGCTTGTTTTACTCACATGCATGTTTTACATAAAGTTTAATATTAGATATTTTCTTATGTGCAATGGAAGAGATGCTGCACCAATTTTGTTGGCCAATTCTGTGGAGTAGAAGCTAACCACATATTCATCTAAGAGAGTGGCACCTAAAGTTACAATGTGTAGTTTTTCCATTAATCTCTAAAAATATCCATCAAAATGTTGTTGAAAATGAATGAAACAATGACCAGTTGATGAAAAATATTGGCGGTTTTGTAACATTTAACCATAAAAATCAGGTTTAACATCCATCAGTGCATGCCTATGGGGCTCGACACACGGGAGGCAACAAACGACCGCGATCAGCGAAATTCGTTGCTGTCGCTTTTATTACCTGACACACGAGAGGCGATCGGCGGCAGCGGCCGGCGGCAGCGGCCGGCGGCAAAGCCGTCTCTTCCATGGCGAAATTTAACTTCTGTTGTTTTGTTTGGCTGTGTCAGGTTGGAGGGAATTAAGGTTATTTAAGCGGTTCAGAGTTAATAAAGCGGTAGATATGATGTTTCACAAGGTGCTGCTAGAGTTATGTGAAATCTTACTTGTGATTTTACTATATAAAACATAATAATAATCAACTTCTCCTCCATGTTTGCTCGGAGGTGTACGGAGCATCCTGTCCGCTCATTGGTCAGTGAATGAAACCTCCGTTGATTGGTCCTCGTCCGAGCGACAGCGATGAAAAGTAGAAAATATTTCAACTCTCTGGGATTGCGTCGCTGGGTCGCCTGTGCACCACACATGCACGACCGCAAAATTTCACACGCACGTTTTTCGCGTTTCGCTTAGTAGGAGGGAGAGCCGTGATTATCGCTTTGTCGCGCATGTCTCATTGAAAATGAATGGAGAGGCGATGTCGCCTCCCGTGTGTCGAGCCCATAAAGCTGTGGGCGATGCCATATCAGACGCAATGTTTCCTGCTACATGAGCCCATGAGGACAAAAAGCATTTACTGATTTTTAACAAGCGGCTACAAAACTTTAACCATTCATAAACGTTGTTTGGAACATTTACCTCTTTACTCGATGCCAGTGATGAAAGAGATTTTGCTGGAAGTTGAACGATCTGACGAAGTACTCATTTTTTGACCCCAATGGCCATCCATGGTAAGGTATTACTTGATCTAGAAAATACAACTTTTTTATCAATGATTTAGTTATTTACTGCCCCTATCGTCAAGAAAAATACACAGTCACTTTAAGGTTTCCCAAATTTTCCTAAATCCAGTCACATTCCAATAAGTTATGCAGGTGGAAGCAAGCTTTTCATCACTGTAAAGGCTGATATGACACATCTGTGTTACAGAACACCTGGAACATTTTTCACATAAAAGTATCAAAAAGTCCCTATTAATAATTAAGTTGCTTTTTTCCTTTTTTTCTAGAGAGCTGGAAGTACAATAAGCTCACATTTAATTAGCATATGCTAACAAATGATGAATTTATTCCCTCTTTCTCTTTTCTAACAAAAGCATTTTTTAATATTTACCTTATTACATAGGTCCTATGGCAATGTTTACATTTTTGCACAACATATGCCAAAATTTTCATGGGACTGCTACATGCAAGACTAAATTATATGCATACCTATATTATATGTAGATAGCGTACAAGCAAACAAAAACTGGCCCTTCTGTTTGCTTTACTTTTAACTGCATCACGGTTGGGTGTTTTCATCATTCAGTCTTAACCTTTATGCTGCACCTTCTGCACTGTAACTGCTCAGCCTTTAACTTAGCCATCTATTTTATTTTTTACGTTTAATTTTGTGTATTTTTTAAATTCATCTTAGATTATGGCCTCCATAATCCTTAAATGTAAGACATTTGGAACAACCAGAACCCTGCCTAGAGCGGGGCTGTCTGACCAAACTGAGCTACCAGGGGAGAAGTCTTGGTGAGAGAGGCAAGAACCCAAAGATCACTGTGGCCGAGCTCCACAGACGCAGTCAGGAGATGGGAGAAAGTTGTAGGAAGTCAACCATCACTGCAGCCCTCCACCAGTCAGGGCTTTATGGCAGAGTGGCCCGTTTGAAGTCTCTCCCCAGTGCAAGACACATGAAAGCCCTCATGGAGTTTGCTAAAAGAAGAAGAAGAAAATATCATTTCTATAGCGCATCTCAAGATAAAAATCATGAGGCGCTTAAAAGACACCTGAAGGACCCCGAGATGGTGAGAAATAAGATTCTTTAGTCTGACGAGACCAAGATAGAACTTTTTGGCTTTATTTCTAAGTGGTTTGTGTTGAGAAACTACGCACTGCTCATCACTTTTCCAATGCAGTCCCCACAGTGAAGCAAGGCGGTGGCAGCATCATGCTGTGGGGGTGTTTTTCAGCTGCAGGGACAGGACCACTGTTGCAATCGGGGGAATGATGAATGCGGCCAAGTACAGGGATATCATGGACAAGAACCTTCTCCAGAGTGCTGAGGACCTCAGACTGGGCCGAAGGTTTATCTTCCAACATGACAGCGACCCTAAGCACACAGCTAAAATAACAAAGGAGTGGCTTCAGGGCAACTCTGTGACTGTCCTTGAATGGCCCAGCCTTGACTTAAACCCAAGTGAGCATCCCTGGAGAGACCTAAAAATGGTTTTCTAAAGATCTGTGTTTTTCTGTCTATATGGGGTGATGTGTGTAAATTAATGAGGGGAAAAAATGAATTTAGTTGATTTTAGCAAATGGCAGCAATGTAACTGAGTGAAAAATTGACCAGGGTCTGAATTATTTTCGTACCCACTGTATGTTCTCTTTGACCTTGCACCTGGAATGCACAATGAATTGCTTTGGTGTATGACATGTGCTGTATAAATTAAGCTGCCTTGCCTGTGAGTTTTTGTTTGTTCTCACAGCTGAAATTTGATTTAACTGACTTTCAATCTCAGCATCAACTATTTGTCATTTTCGGTATATTAATCATAGGCGGATTGGTGTTGCATCTGCAGTGAGGCGGGCATTATACCGGTCTGTCGTGGTGAAGAGAGCTGAGGCTGAAGGCGAAGCTCTAGATTTACCGGTTGATCTACGTTCCTACCCTCACCTATGGACATGAGCTTTGGATAGTGACAGAAAGAACGAGATTGCAGATACAAGCGGCCGAAATGAGTTTTCTCTGCAGGGTGGCTGGGCTCTCCCTTGGAGATAGGGTGAGATGCTCGGTCATCTGGGAGGGGCTCGGCGCTAGACACGCTACTCCTCCACATCGAGAGGAGCTAGTTGAGGTGGCTTGGGCATCTGGTCAGAATGCCTCCTGGACGCCTCCCTGGTGAGGTTTTCCGGGCACGTCCAACTGGGAGGAGACCTAAAGGTAGATCCAGGACACAGTGGAGGGACTATGTCTCTCACCTGGCCAGGGAACGCCTTGGGATTCCCCCGGAGGAACTGGCCCAAGTGGCTGGGGAGAGGGAAGTCTGGGCCTCTCGACTTAGGCTGCTGCCCCCGCGACCCGACTCCAGATAAGCGGATGAAAATTGATGGATGGATGGATGGTATATTAATTTGACCAACAACATGATGTTAGTCTTTTGGAGTATTAATGATTATTGAATGCTGTCAAATATTCTTTTTTTTTATTTTGAGCATTTATGAGCTCATAAGATCTTTTACAATGTCTGTAGAAAATATTTGTTTAAATTTTCAAATAATAGTCATTTCAATATATCACAGCTTCCAATCTAGATGGAACTGTTATGGACTTAATACAAACCCCAGTGGGACGCCACAATATCCAAGCACGATATGCTAATCCCATCTGACAGTGACTTATATTGCATTAATAATTCTTTATAAATTCTAGTATAATCCACTTTGTTCCTAGCCTCTCGAATAGGCTGAATAAAATTTTGTAATCAATTGTATTGAAAGCATTTTAAAGATACCCACTTAGGGCGACATGGGTCTTTGGGGTCAATGTTCTTACCAAAGATGACAGAAAGTTCTTCTTAGTCCGCACTGGGATAAACATGACACAATGTTTAAAAAATATACACACACACAGGGGCATTCAATTAAGTTTTAGCTGGAAGCATCTGATAAGTTTATGGAAATTAAAGTTTTATGTAAATCAGTCGTCTGTCTGGCACAGATCCAGATCATGGGGGGAGGGGTCTGTGCTATGCTGAATCCAAATTAGCTGCATAAGAAAACTGCTGCATAAAAATATTATCACAAAGAACCTAGATGGTGTTTATACTTGCGTACAGCTCCAACGTCACTCCCATTAAAAATTAATTATATCCCGACTCAACAGGGATCACATTACTATTCCAATACTGGGTTATCGTCATTGTTCAGAACACCGGGCACAAAAATCAGCTATTCATCAACACGATTTATTTCATTATTCCAACAATTCTCATTTCAACTGACATGAAAATCAAAGTAGTGTATGTGTGTGTGTGAGAGAGAGATAAAAGCTCACTGCAGATCCGAGAGCACTTCTAGTTAAGAGGACAATGACATCTTGTGGAGAAGTAGAGCAACAACACCAGGACAATCTGCATCATGTTAAGGGTATTATTACTTTCTTTAATCTCACTAAACATGTATTATGGGATTAGATAGTCTGTAATGTTTTAATACATTATTACACAAGTGACCATTTTAATAAGTGTATAATCATTCTGTACACTAATATACAAAACAAATGTGTTATTACAGATAAAGGACCACTACTGTGTGACTGAGTTATTCCAGTGGCATAATGGAGATTTAAATAATTTACAGAACAAACAAACAAACACAAATGCATCTCACTGTTACGTTTAAATGAGTTTTGATTGAAGAGCTAAACAAACTCTCTGGAAATGTGCTGGTCAAGTTTCTGCTCATTCAGAGTGCGGTGAGCATAATAAACTCTAACAAAGAAACTATTGGATGTTTCACTTTTCATTCAATCACAAGTGTGAAGGCCCAGGCCTTTAAACTGTAGTGAGATCTTCATTAATACATGCTACCTCGCTGACACGCCCCTCCTTCATGAGGGTTGAAGGGTTTTTTTTTGTCCTTGTCCACATGCTAGATGTCTTCATTACATTCCTGATTTTGTGAATTGCTGTAAAATTTCCATCAGATGAACTCATTCACTGCCATTGATGATGAAAGTCGTCATTTTAAATCCAACCGTTCACTGTGTGGGCGTCGGAACGAGCCCCCGCTCCGCGAGAACAAACATCCCAGCTCTAAAGTCGATCTTCATCCGCGTACGTCACGTGATCAGGAAGCAGAAAATCCATGTGTTAGGAGATCGTTTTAGGCCGCTGCTGTAAATAAAGTGAGGTGCGAACTGGAAAAGCTGAAGTACCTGAAGTAAGAGGTGAGTCTACTCTTTGTTTTGTTAGTTTTGGCGCTGACATCATCATTGAGCGCAATGCTCTGATTCGTAAAAATGCTGAAAAACGCTGGCAGCGAAGGGCTTTTCTGATCAGGAAATGCCCGGCAGTGAATGAGTTAAAAGCTGCATTACGCTCTAGAAAGATTTCCTCCTCTTTTCAAGTCTGTTTTATTTGTTGACAAAGAACATTCCAGTCTTATAAAGAGTGTACTCATCCATTATGTGTGGACAAGATGGCCTTGACAAGAAAAGTTGTTACTCTTCATGGTTTCAGGGAAGAGGTCATATCGAGAGCGAGAGAGAGAGAGACTAACATTAAATAGAAGAAGAGGTCTGAGGATTCATCCTTTAATGTGTTACAATGGAGCTGAATCAAACCCCAGGAGTTTCACAGTAATCCACATATTCAGGAATGTGATTAAAGCATCTATACGTAACCCAGAGCAACAAGGGCCTTAATGATCAACAGGAGGCAGGATCGGGGGAGAGATCTGTGAGAACTTGCATTAATAACGGTGGCACAGGAGTTAAGTGCTCGCCCCGTAATCGGAAGGTTGCAGGTTCGAGCCCCGCTCAGTTTGTCGCTGTCGTTGTGTCCTTGGGCAAGACACTTAACCCACGTTGCCTGCTGGTGGTGGTCGGAGGGACCGGTGGCGCCAGCGCTCAGCAGCCTCGCCTCTGTCAGTGCGCCCCAGGGCAGCTGTGGCTACAATGTAGCTCATCCCCACCAGTGTGTGAATGGGTGAATGACTGATTGTGTTGTAAAGCGCCTTGAGGGGTTCCAGGACTCTAGAAGGCGCTATATCAAATACAAGCCATTTACCATTCACCATTAATAAAGACTGGAAGTTCACCACTTCCAATTAAAAATGTTCAAGAAGAAGCAAAATATCTAACATGAATGGAGGAGACTACGTGCAGTCATCAGCGGATCCCAGTGATGTCTCCTTGGAAGCTTAGCAACAGGAAGAGCTGGATGTGAGCAGATTTGCCTTTTGGACAGATGCTACCTTGAAACCGTGGAGCTAGCACAGGATTGACCAGAGGACGTTGTAGCAGCACTGAGCTGAGAGAAACCACTCTGACAAGACTCCAAACTGGTCATGGATCCCCTGCAGGAATAAAAGACGAGTCCTTGAATTCAAGTTTTTAACTCCCTACATAACAAAGCACACCGCATGTGGAGTGGTACACCTCTGCTGTCGCACATAAACTGACCTGAAGTCATGGGAGGCCAGCACTTCTGTGTAATACATGATCTTGCACTTGTGTGAGGAGACCTGCAGAGACGCCAAAACGTCGTCGACTCGGGGGAGGCTGGAGGCGGTGCTGGTGGTGGAGCTGTGGAAACGCCACTGGAGGATGTAGAAGCCAGGCCAGCGTGTTATATGAGAGCCCTGTAAAAAAAAATAAAAACACTTTTGTGCTTCAAAACAAGACAAATGGATATTACAGTTTTAATGAGGACATTATCTCACCTGCACACTCTCTCCCTCTCTACAGATGAGAGCCTTCTCCACCATGCTGTAGTCCCGGCCCAGCACCCAGCTCCTATCGATCAGCTGAGTGTTCACCGGCCCCAGGGAGGCGATGCCATGAGCTCCTAGAGTGTCTCTCTTTGGAGGCTGAGGAGCTCTTCTGGAGTGATAAATATTAAAGACCACATCTCCTTTAGACACATCAAAGTCCCAGGTGATGACGGAGGAGGCCTCTGTGATCTCAATCAGCACCTGGATGAGGAGGATAAGACCCAGGTGAGTCATCTACAGCTGAGAGCTTGTGATGTGATTTATTATCCAGCTGGTGGCAGCATAACCCAGAGCATTAAATCATCTAAATGAGTCATGGTTTAACTGCACCTCATAGGGAGCTCCTTTAAAGATGTTGGCACTCTTATAGATGGAATCGGTCAGGAAGCAGTTTTCTTCATTCTCCAGTTCCTCTGCAGTCCGATACAGAGACTTGGGGACAGTTCCTCCTTCAGGCAGGTCACACTGAGGAGGAGGAGCAGTAAAGAAAACGGTCATGACGTGTAATATGTACTTATGTGGTCGCACATTTAGGCTGATTTGTGAACAATGTTTGAAAGAAATGGTAATATTGTGTATCTGGAATGAATTTTAGATCTTTAAGTCCATCTCATGAAAAATCGGAGCAGAAACAAAGCTGTTGCGTTTATATTTTTGTTGAGTGTATGTCTCTTTATATCCATATATATATATGTCTCTATATATCTATATATATATATATATATATATATATATATATATATATATATATATCTATGTCTCTCTATATATGTATATCTATATCTCTCTATATATCTATTTATCTATATCTATATATATAATACATTTATGATATAATACAAAATAAAAAATAATAGAACCATAATTGGTTCATTAATAGCTGCATTAGTGTATGGTCTCCATTAATGCTAAAACTATACAAAACTGGGATTTAGGAAATGACAATAGAGCAGCACATCTGCAGTCCCGGACTCCTGGGGCTAAAGTGGCCCATCTGACGTCCAGATCCATCACCCACTGAGTCTGAGCAGTAATCTGAAGGGACAAATATGGCTCAGCAGCAATGTCCTCGCTCACTCAGGAATAAAAAACGTTTCCTTTTTAAATCTACACCAAGCTAGATTTCTGATTTATCAGTTAATTACAAAGTTAATAACAGATTATATTCCTCCCGTCGAAATGGTTTTCTAAAGATTTTCATGGCACTGAATCCAACGGCAGCAGAGCCATTTATAATTACTGATCACAACACCTGGCTGGATCCTTGAGTTTTACATAAAACATGAAAATCTTCATTATGTTCACACTAGGGCCGGGAAATAAAATGTATGGTCATCAAAATTTCTGACTGTTATCGAAATCGCGTTTTCCCATGTCAATAAATTTGCTAATAAAAAAATGAAAAGATGTGTGTAGGTTGGTAACATTCATGTCCCTTTAAGAAGCTGTACGATACGTGTGACAGCCCCATCTAGTGGATAACTTTTGTTTCTGCGTAGTTATCGTCCATTTATTGTTATCAAGGTGAAACCCTCAATACATGGTGATATTGATTTTAGGCCATATCGCCCAGCCCTAGTTCCCACAGAAAAAGAACGCTACCATGCAGTTTCCTCCCAGGAAGTCAGGGATGACCTCTCTGTTTATGTAGTCCTCCAAGCCTCCATGACCCTGGAAGTCATTTCCAGCGTAAACAAGGAACTTCTTGCGAGTGTTCTCGTTAATCAGGGGGCTGACCTGGAAACGAAGAGCTCATCAGCAGATGAAGGAAACAGCAGGGTCACTTATTATGAACTCTGGAAATCAATCCATAAGCAATGAATCATTCATGTGGGCAGAATTAACGAGATGTCTGGTTGCACCCCAACACGGATTCGTACTGTAGCAGTCTTCTAAAAAACTTCAGTACTGAACTAGGAAACATCTGGAGCAACAGTGTCACAACTGCATCGCATACCAACATCAACTCTACCAATATACGGCACAACTCACATATTTAAAATTCAAACTGCAATGTTTAAGCTGCCGCTAGTGGTTCATTAAGGTCACCATGGCAACCACAGACCTGTGTCTTAGTCCCTCAATGAAAAGTAGAAGGAAAAATGAGGTTTCAGATAAACAGTAGCTGTGTAGTCTAAAATACCCGTTCAGTCATGTGATGTCCAGCTTCCCATGACCTATTTAGACTCAGATGTTTCCATTGGGGAAGTTTTCTCACCTGTTTATTTATTCCCATTGTTGTTTACGGGGAAATTTTTAGCAGCTTTTATGCAAATTTTGCCCCCGGATGATGCCCGGCTACCTAAAGTGACTCCTGATTTAAAAAGTCGTTCATGTGTCATTTTTATGGTTTTCTTGTACATCTCTGTCAGAATTGCAAACAGATTGCTAAAGTGTTTGCTGCTTTTCCGTTTCCCTAATAAATAATTAATATTTAAAAAGCATCTTAAGCATGCCCAGGAAAGAACTGATCAAGGCAGATTAGCCATATGCTGTTTGTGTTTTATTATCACATATTTTTGTCCATAAATTCCTAATTATCTGTTTCTTTGTTTGAACCTTTGATTTTTTTCTGCTCAACAGCAGTTTGCTTTGAAAATGATCAAAAGTTTCCCATAGGACCTGGTTTCTCCTTATTCCACTGCTATAATTATCCTTATTTGTCATATTTGAATGCCTTTGCTTTTCATCTCGTTTCTTTGTCATGTTCTTGTATCTGGGATGTAGAAGACGTTTATTCAGAATTATAACAGATGCATTCTCTTTGTCCTGTACAACTTGAACAATCCCAATCAGAAAACTGGAGGCATTTCTTCTCACCAAGGTCCAGAGAACTGGGAAAACCCTGGGTGCGCGCAGGATGAGCAGTCGACCTAGAGTCTCAGGGTAGTTGGCCTCAACCACCTCGATGATCCTCAGGAGAGCCTTCACCCCAGGTCTCCACAGGTGACGCATGTTCAGACCCTCCAGATCCACCAGGCACGTCCAGCAGCTGGACAAGACATTAGACGTATTCCTCACCTATCAGTCAGACATCAGAATCATTCATACAAATGTTTAGATACCTTATGGGTCGACCGAATACTCTGGTGTTCTCTTCGCAGCGTCTCAGTCCTTCCTCGTTGAGGGTAAGGACCTGTCTCAGCAGCGCCTCCTCACCCAAGGCTCGAACCAAACCCTTGGTGTCCATTTGACCCAGACGCAGGACATAAAGGGGACGGCCGTCTAAACAACGAACAGGAAGTTAAACCTAAGACTTTTAGGCCTAAATCCAGCACAGAGATGATAAATCCTGCAGGATCAGATCGGACTGTCATTGTTCTACCAGCTGTAAACGTTGTCTGCAAATGGCAGGCAGACAGCGCAAAACACCACGAGTGGTTAAAGTGAAAACCTGAAAAGAAATATAGAGTTAGCTGCTCTGAGGTAGAAGTTTGTCAAAACCCGACTACCTTTTAAAAGACAGACTTCAAATTGGATTATTTTTGCCCCCATTTCAACAGCTCAGGTCAGATTGTTTTTTCTTAGGACGCGAAGATCCTTTGACAAAATTAGGTTTCTGATGTGTAAACTTAAGACTGTTCTGTCTCTGGAGGATCATCCTCTCCACCATGTTTTTAAGGAGCAAGTCGCCCCATACCAGAGTATTACTCCACTCCCACTTCCTGTTTGAAAAATGCAACAAATGCTGTTGCATAGCAGAGCGAGAGGGCGGAGCCGCTAACAAATACACACACACAGGCTCACAACGACATTGTGACATCATATAGTACCAGCTAATGTTCTAAGGTACCTCTTAGCCAATAGCGATGGCAGATTTAAATTCAAATGCAGTGCAGAGTTTTTAACCTGACAACGGCACAACCAGGGTCCGAAATAAAATTTTTTACTCACCGGCCAAGTTGGCTGGTAGATGATGAAAATCTACCGGCCAAGCATATTTTTTACCGGCCAAAATTCTAAATGATGTAGATCTGCCTAAAGCATGTAATTCTATATTATGTTGATTCCAAACAGAGTGACAAAATAATTAAAACATCAATTAATAAGAAAAACAACTCTTTTGTCATTTTTAATATTTACTTATTTATTTTTAGAAATGCTTTTATGAACTCTTTCATTGAAGTCTAGTCAGACTCCTTGTTTTCTCTGTCCATGAAGTCTGGCCTCCTGCTTCTGACACCGTCTTTGTGCCAAAGCATTACAGCCTCATTTGGGTCATAGTCCTTGATCTCTGGAGAACACAGCTGCACCATGAGAATATCTGAAAATGTGTCAGGGCTAGGGTTGTCACGGTAACCGGTGTAGCGGTAAACCCCGGTAAAAAAGTTGACAATAATAATAACCGTCTTGTTTTAAAAAAAAATATTATCTTGGTGGATTGCCGTGGCTGCGGTGTAGGCGCGGTGACCCTTACCAGCCACCGTATCATCTGCTGAAGTTGCCGGCGGCACATGCGCACTTTGTTGTTTGCAACCAAAACTTTCTTTAAGCTAAAGCTGAAATAATGGCCAGAGGAGGAGACGGCAGCGCTCAGGACATTTATTATCCCTCAAAGAAGACAAAGTCAGAAGTACGGGCATTTTTTGGATATTTGAAGAATGCCGAGGGACAATTGATAGAAGACGGCTATCCTGTTTGCAGCACATGCAGAAAAAGTGTCTGAAAGGCAGCAACGCTTCAAATCTCATGACACAATACGTGGCCATCATAATGTAGCCATTGTCTTACGACTCCACCATCTCCAGTTCGCCACTTTTCACAAAATCTTCTGGTTGCCACTGGTCCTGGTGGTTTTTCTTCCAGTTCGACGAGTTTTCTTTTGGAAGGCTGGCTGACTCCAGTTAAAAACCGCCACATTTCACTGCTAGTTTTAACACGAAACTAACTACTAACTTGATAAACTGATTGAACGGGATAGGTGGAAATGACGTTGGATGTGGCGCTCACGTTTCGCGTACGTTTGTGTACATTGCATGCAGGCGGGAGGAGTATCACAGAAATCCATGGAAGATGACCGATAAACATAACTAATTTGGTGCAAACATTTACTCGCTATGTGGCAGATAAGAGCTCAAAAATTTACTCGCCAAATGGAGCAATTTGCTCGCATTTGGCGAGTGTTAATTTCGGACCCTGGGCACAACACTCGCAGTTTTAGGCAGAAAATTAAAATTTGAACTAAAATGCACTAAAGTGCAAAACTATTGACTACATGTGTCTGCAGCACGATTAAGACACGCATTTATATAGTTTATCAGAAAAAAAATGTTTATTTGGGGGTGACTTGCTCTTTAAGGATCTCAGGAGCTCTTTTAGTGGACGAATGTTAATTCCCTGTTGTTCCTCTGAATGTTTTAGAAACTCTTTTATTCCTGCTGCAGTGCGTTTTTACAACGGACATCTTGTATGATCTTATATTTGATGCTTTTATCATAGTTGTGGTTTATAGCAGAGTCCAGTTGTGATCCTTTGTTTAGTCTGTTTGTTGTTGTTTTTACATGTCCATGGCAAGTCCCTTTCCCCCTTGAGGATTAATAAAGCCAACCATAACCTTAATTTCTGAGTTCTGAACCCATCTGGCTTCTTGGTGCCTTTTTTGTTTCTCAGTCTGAAGTAGAAACTGCCTCTTTTTATCAGATACAGCAACAGCAAGGAACTAGAGAATGTCCTACCCTCGTGCCACAGGTGCAACAAATATGGAAGAAAACAACACAAGTGATGAGTGAAACCCAGAGTTTACTGTGTACACACGAAAGTAAAAAAAAAAACTAATTATACAAGACTCTGTGCATTTGCATGTGCATCTACGTCGATCAACGTGCAGCTTCATCGAGACATGGCTGATCCAGCTGTGCCAGACTACGCCATCCAGCCGGCCGAGTTCTTCTCGGTTCACCGCATGGACAGGACACGGGACTCAGGGAAGTCAAGGGGAGGCAGCATGTGTTTAACGGTGAACAACAATTGGTGCAACAGTGCAAACATTGTTCCTTTAACACGCTCCTGCACACCAAATCTGGAACTACTGTCCATCATGTGTCGTCCTTTTTATCTACCTCGAGAGTTTACATCAGTCATTATAAGTGCTGTTTATATACCACCACAAGCGGACACGGACACTGCCTTATGCGAGCTGCATGAGGCTCTCACCCAGCACCAGATACAACACCGGGATGCCGCGCTTATTGTGACGGGGGACTTCAATGGTGCCAACCTCAAACATGCAGCGCCGAACTTTCATCAACATATCACCTGCCCCACCAGAGATAGAAGGACACTGGACCACTGCTACACTACGGTCAAGGACGGCTACAAGGCACAATCTCGCCCTCTGTTTGGCAAATGCGATCATGCCGCCATCTTCCTCGTGCCAAAATACAAACAAAGGCTGAAACAGGAAGTTCCGGTTCAGAGGAAGGTCGCGCGCTGGACGGACCAATCAGTGGCTGCATTACAGAATGCACTCGACGATGCAGACTGGGACATGTTCAGAAACAGCTCCGATAATGACGTCAACGTGTTTATGGAAGCGGTTGTGGGATTCATCGGGAAACTAGCGGATGATACCGTGGAGACAAAGACTATCACCACGTTTCCCAACCAGAAGCCGTGGGTGGATAAAACCATCCGCAAAGCTCTGAGATCCCGCACCACTGCCTACAACACGGGACTCGCGACGGGGGACATGAACCCGTACAAAGCTGCGTCATATGACGTGCGGAAGGCGGTGAAAGAGGCGAAGCAGCGCTACAGGAGGAAGCTAGAGTTACAACTCCAACAGAGTGACTCTAGGAGCCTGTGGCGGGGAGTAAGGACAATAATGGATTATAAAGCACCAACATCTGGTATGACGAACGCGGACGCGACTCTGGCAGATGAGCTGAACACTTTCTACGCTCGTGTCGAGGCTGCAGCTAAGGACTCTAACAATGTTAGCGCTAGCAGCACTAACGGCTGCAGACAGGAAGATACTGCCAGCACCAGAAACGTGCTCGTCATCTCCGAGCATGACGTGAGGAGAGCCTTCAAGAGAGTGAACACCAGGAAAGCAGCAAGACCAGACGGCATCCCAGGTCGTATCCTCAGAGACTGCGCATACCAGCTAGCTCCTGTGTTCACTGAGATATTCAACATCTCTATCTCAGTTGGTGATCCCCACATGCTTCAAGGAGTCCATCATTGTTCCTGTCCCGAAGAAACCCCACCCTGCTTCTCTCAATGACTATCGCCTCATAGCCCTCACCTCAGTAGTGATTAAGTGCTTCGAACGCCTGGTCAGAGACTTCATAATTTCTTCACTACCAGACACACTGGACCCACTACAGTTCGCTTACTGTCCAAATCGTTCTACAGACGATGCCATCTGTCATCTCCTCCACACATCACTCACTCACTTGGACACTAGAAGGGGGAATTATGTTAAAATGCTCTTCATCGACTACAGCTCTGCATTTAATACCATAATTCCCTCCACACTCACCACCAAACTGGAGCACCTGGGACTGAGCTCATCTATGTGCCAGTGGATCTTCAACTTCCTAACTGGCAGACCACAGGCAGTAAGGATGTGCGGACATGTCTCAGCCTCCACCACCCTTAGCACTGGAGCCCCCCAGGGGTGTGTTCTAAGCCCCCTGCTGTACTCTTTGTACACATATGACTGTGTGGCCAGTACCAGCTCCACCACCATCATTAAGTTTGCTGACGATACCGTCGTGGTGGGCCTGATCTCTGACAACGAGGCGGCCTACTTGAAGGAGGTTAGGAATCTGGAGACCTGGTGCAAGAGGAACAACCTCCTTCTAAACATCAGTAAAACGAAGGAGTTGATAGTGGACTTCAGTACTAAGCAGGAGAGGAACTACCAGATCCCCGTCATCAACGAGTGCCCAGTGGAGAGAGTGAGCAGCTTCAAATACCTCGGTGTTCACATCACGCAGGACCTGTCATGGTCCTGTCACATCAACACCGTGGTGAAAAAGGTCCGACAGAGTCTCTACCACCTCAGACGCTTGAGAGACTTCCGACTGCCCTCCAGGGTGCTCAGGAACTTTTACTTGTGCACCATAGAGAGCATCCTGATGGGAAACATCATAACCTGGTTCGGGAACAGCACCATGCAGGACAGACGAGCTCTACAGAGGGTTGTACGATCAGCTGAGCGCACCATCCGCTCCGAGCTCCCTGACTTGCACTCAATCTACAGCAGGCAGTGCTGGACCAAGGCCAGGAAGATCGTGAAGGACCTCAGCCATCCCAACAACAGACTGTTCTCTCTGTTGAGGTCAGGAAAGCGATTCAGCTCCCTGAAGACCAACACAAAGAGGCTGAGGAGGAGTTTCTTCCCGCAGGCGATACGGTCTTTCAATCACACCACCACATAGAAAGTGCCCACTCATATGGTTCTCACACACACACTGGACAGTCTGGACTTTGTTTATGCATAGTTGCACTGCAAAAGTCACTTACAATGTGGTTTGCACAACTCTGGGTATTATATTTCTTCATTTCCATTTAATACTTGTACAGCTGCTGTTATTGTATATATATTTATATTTCTTCAAACATTCTTATATATTTACATACTGTGTATTTTGTTGTACAGTTACTTTATTTTCAACTTTAACTTATATTTTTTTTGTTATCTTATTCTTTCCCAGCTAAATTTACCTTTTATTCTAATTTGTATTGTATTGTGTATTTTGTTGTACAGTTATTCTTAGGGGCAGCAGAAGCTCAACAGGTTGAGCTGGTTGTCCAGCAATCGGAAGGTTGCAGGTTCGATCCCGGCTCCGGACAGAGAATTCTGCTGTTGTGTCCTTGGGCAAGACACTTAACCCTCCTTGCCTGCTGGTGGTGGTCGGATGGACCGGTGGCGCCTGTGCTCGGCAGACTCGCCTCTGTCAGTGCGCCCCAGGGCAGCTGTGGCTACATTGTAGCTCATCACCATCAGTGTGTGAAAGTGTGTGTGAATGGATGAATGATACACTGTAGTGTAAAGCGCTTTGGAGTCCTTACTCTGAGAGGCGCTATACAAGTGCGGGTCATTTATCATTATTCTATTTTTCATCTTTAATTCAGATATATTTACCTTACTCTTACCCAGATAAATTTAGCCTTCAATCTAATTCGTGATGTACAGTTATTTTATTCAATTCTAAACTTTTTTTCCTTCCTAGTTAAATTTACCTTTTTTAAATTTTCATATGTATTCCCTATTTTATTCATAGCCTTTTCTTTTTTTTCTTTAGGTCACGAGCAGTTGTGTAAGGCATTTCACTGCATTTCGTACTGTGTATGACTGTGTGTGACAAATAAAATTTGAATTTGATCTAAAGTAATAAACTGGGAGATTTTACCCTAGTCTACATGTATGTTAGAAAACCGAACACCTGACACCTGATTTGATAATGTTACTGTGGCCGTGCTCAGGACGCAGATGTCTGGAGCACGTCAACAATCAGAGCTTTGCATGCGCAAGCTGGTTAAGGTTAGGATGGGGATGAGGGAAGGTTAAATTGCAAGAGGGTAAGGGTCACAATTTGGTTAAATGTCTGTTTTACGGCGGGTGTCAGTACCGACGCTCTGGCACAGCGCGTTGCCTCCAGACGCGCAGGAGCTCGTCACCTGCTGACAGCAGGCTGCTGTCTTTTCTGAGGACTGCATCTTGCCGGTCATTATCACGTGACAGCGACTAGTCGATGACAGGCATAAAAAGTCACTATAGAGCGGTGAAGTCGACTAGTGACTAGTTCATACAACCCCTGCTACTGCTCCCCAGAGTGTTCTGCAGCATAATCAGCACGTTCTCTTTGAACTTGATATCAAATTTTCGCCTCCTCTTCGTCTCCACACGGTTAAAGTTACCCTCGCGGTCTATCACTGGCAAATCAAAAGTGAAACAGATGACACAACCGCCCCCCGTACTTGCTTGTTACCACATTCCACCCGGCCACAATAAAAACCGGCCATTTTTCACCTCCGCCGACTCCGACACCTGCCAAAGTATGATACCCGGCAGTTAATTAAATACAGGCTAATATTAGAGGATTTACGGTAAGCTAATTAGCTGTGTTCATGATCCAAAAATATGCAAGAAAACTGCTGGAATCAGACAGCAGTGACAGGTATTTCAGCTCAATTTTTTCCAAGTCCCAATAGAGTGGCCCGCCAAGCTGAAAGTTGCATATACAGTATTCTGGCCATAGAGGGCTATAGGGTCTAAGTGGCGTTTCCTGTAAAGGGTCATTTTAGCACATACTGGCTCAAGAAAATGATTTGAAAATATGCTAAATTTGCTAAGTATTCCTATAAGGAATGTCACTTGATCAATCCTTTCATACGAAATAGGTAAAAGTATGTATGATTCGGGCTGATATCATATCGAATTGATATCAGTATCGGTATCACATCGGAAGTGAGAACAGTTGTATCGGGACATCCCTAGTTTTCAACCCTTTATAGGTAAACTGTTTAAAATTTAATGTGGTACAGGAGTCAAGTGCTCTCTATGTAATCAGAAGGTTGCAGGTTCCAGTCCCGCTCAGTCTGTTGCTGTTGCCTGCTGGTGGTTTAGGGTTTATAGTGTTTATTTAACAGAGCTATATGAGTTCAGCATTTCATTTTTAATCAGTTTTTTAAAGTGAATATTGTTTTTGCATCTTTGATTTCTGTACTCAGTTTATTCCATATTTTTACTCCATATATTAAGATACAATGCTGCTTTACAATTAACCTATGCATTGGTAATACAAATAATCCACGTCCTTTTAAATCATATAAACTCTGAATCTGTTTTACTTTTAGTTTAATCAACTGAAGACAAAACACTGTGCTTCCACATAAGCAAATCAGCAGCAATAATATGAGTTAACTGTGAGCTGATCTTCTTCCTGGTTGTGTTTTATTAATAATATCAGGTTTAAAGCCGGTTCGAGCATTGCATAGAGCTGCTTCCAGTTTTCAGTTAAAACCATAAACAGTTTGAAACATCATCCCTTTCATGCAGGGGTGCCTCCAGAAAATTTTGATGGGGTGGCCAGACGGGGCCAAAGACATTTTTGGGGTGGCACATGTAGCATTGCAATGCTCCTTTATTCATTTTTATTAAAAAAAAAAAAAAAAAAAAACGTAGCCAAACATTTAACAAAAATTATTTTAACAAACATTTCAGAATACATTTTAGTTATTTTAAATTTAATTTAAAATTTAATGTATTTTTTTAGTTTAATTTACCTGTTCATGTGTTCACAAAAAACTACAGAGGTCAAAACTTTTTAAAATGGTGAGCAGCAGAAACATATGTATTATTTTTTATTCTAATTATTTCTTTACTAATAAGTTGTATTATTTTTATTTTATTTTACAATTATGTCTTGAATAAATAAGATCAACTTATGGTTTGAGTGAACATTAATATGATTTATTAACACTGGCTTTTGCTGGGGGGGCCAGCAATTTTCTAGGGGTGGCCATGGCCACCCGTTAGGGGCGCCCTTGCTCTCATGGACACAGGTTTACTCCTGTTCATAGCAGCAAGCTTACGAATAAAACAAAGATCAATGAAGAACGGCCAAAGTCTGACGTCTGAGGCATCATTTAATAAAACAGACTGGCGCCATTAATATATTGGTTTGCAGGAATAATGATAAACTGTCTCTTTGCTCAGTGATCTTCTACAATAACCGACATGCATGGATTTTACTAACTTTAATGCATTTATGGGATGTCACCTGCAAAAGCAAAATAAAGCAAGTATTGAACTGAGGCTTGGTGTTGGCACATATTTCGCATATTAAATCACTCAGATTGGTGAATACAAACATCACTTGTTCCAGAACTGTTACATAGCTGTGGGCAGGTAAAATGGAGTAGGTCGAGAAGAACAGTGTCAGTCAAAAGTGTGGTAGTGAAGTCTTTTTGAGATTGTTTATTAACTTGGGCACAAAACTGCAGTCTTTTTGAGATTGTTTATTAACTTGGGCACAAAACTGCACCACCAATCTCCAAAATGGAATATTCCTAGAAAAGGAGGGTGGACGGGGTAAATAAATCTATCCTATTAAACCGTTTAATGAACTGGGCTGTAAGCTGCAGGTTTATGTTTTCCTTTAACCAAAATGTGTCACGGGTTGTTTGCTGGGATCCTGAGTAATTCTATTAACTTGTAAATAAATGACATAACGTGCCCTTTAAACTCCAGCTTTGGTTATTAGCTGCTCCGTCAGACACGACGACTCTTGTGCAGAAGACAGAAGGGCTCAGACTTCAGAGTGAATAAATAAATAAGCAGGTTTCTACAAACGTGGACTAGTAAAACTTCTACTTTATTACATAATTATAGTTAAAGCCTCACTTTTACGTAGTTCTACATTTTACCTCTGTCATGGTGGTGCCATCCTCCGGTGTAGTAATCCTGAAGCAGCTGAGGGCGCTCCCATGTGTCCATCAGGAAGTCCACCTGGTGCTGCTTCCTCCAGGTGAGAGACTGACACAAAAAATCCTTGGCCTTGTCCATGTTAAAGTCCCTGGCCTTCAGGAAGCGCAGCACATGCTGATCTTTAGGAATCTGCACACCAGAGACAGGAGTCAGCGCTCAGGTGCAACAGTCTGATGAACAATTCATTAAGTCAAACGTTTGCCTGTAAGGAGAAAAGCGTTGAAGCTGAGCAAAAGTAGAGATTGTGTAAGAGTTTGTGGAGTTGACAGACTGTACATAGCTGTGTGTGTGTGTGTGTGTGTGTGTGTGTGTGTGTGTGTGTGTGTGTGTGTGTGTGTGTGTGTGTGTGTGTGAGACCTTGCCCTTGTGGGTTTCCTGGAGCCACTGGCGCAGTCGGATGAGACAGCTCTCCTGCAGAGGCGTTAAATCACCTAGGTAACGTCTGATGTAGTCAGCATCCAACTTGTCTACAAGTCCAAACACATTACAGCTCAGAGTTACCACATATTGCACACGTCAGATGGAGATGTCAGGATCTCCACACGGTTGGTTTGCAACTAAATGTTTCTATAGTTTGTTTGTTTTTGTCTAGCTGACACAAAAGCTGTAATTAGTACTGTTTGAAAACAAATTCATCTGCTCAGCTCTTAAAGTGACAGTGTGTAGTTTTTACCATTAATCTCTGGAAGTATCCAATGAAATGTATTAAATAACTTAAAAGATGCCCAGTTGTTGAAAAATATTGGCGGTTTCATAACATAGTCATAAAAATCTGTTCTAAAATACATACAGCGGGTCTAAGTCTCTGGGCGACGCCATATTGGATGCCATGTTTACTTCTACAGAAGTCTGAGGACAAAATGCATTTACTGATTTGTAACAAATGGTTACAAAACTTTCAGCATTAATAAACATTGTTGTTTTACACAATGACTACGTTTACATTCAGCCAATATCCGGGTTATGATCGGGTTAAGGTCGGTATTCGGGTTTCTGAGTTGATCAGAATAACTCGTTTACAAGCATAAATAGAAAGAGTTACCCCTAACTTGCATAACCCGATGTAAATGCGGACATTGGGGTAGCGTCAGGACGTATGGACTACGTCAAGACGCAATATACATCATATTTCGCTGTCTCTGTACTTTCGGCCATCAACAAAAGACATAATGTTCATACTTTTCACCAGACCGATGAAGACAGAGGTTTCCTCGTCACTCCAAAAGTGTGGTGCTGTGCCGCGACTCGCCATGTTGCTCCCAACTTGTTGTTTACTTCCGGTGTTCTGGCGCATACAAGACGTCTCGCTACTCAGAAGACCAAGATTCCTTGCGAACAGAGCATGCGCAGAAAACACGCTTTGATGGCGATATCCCGATATGCGTTTACACAACCAAACATTCGGGTTAGAAAAGGGTTACCCCAGGTGTAGTAACCGGGTTTTTAAAAACCCGATTATGAGCATATCCGGGTTTTTGGCGGTGTTTACATGGACCTGCGGAACCGGGTTATTGTGAATATTTGGGTTTTAAAAGGGTTACTGGCTGCATGTAAACACACCCATTTACCTCTTCACTCGTTACCAGTGATAAAGGGGAATCTGATGGTCTTGTTATTTTGTTGGAGATTGCACTCCCATGGATTTTTGACCCTAATGGCCATCCGTTGGTACAGTCTTCTTTGAGCACAAAAATAATGCTTGCTTGCAGTGATTTAGGTATGCACTGCCCTCTATCACCAGGGGAACTACACACTGTCACTTTAACCAAGAGAATAATATTTCTAGGGTCAAACAGACATAGCTCTGGTCTTCACATTTAGCTGATTGTTACCCCGTTACGCCTGCAGCACGTTTCGGTAGCAGCATGGTTTACTCACGAGCTCCATGGCACGTCAGTTCACACAGAGAACTTGTTAGACATGGAGCAACTGTCCAAATAGTTGGACTAGTGAGATTTCTTTTAAAAATCATGGATGAAATGGCGTATGCTTTACAATAACTTTTGTAAAATCTACGTGTGAGGTAATATATAAAACTAGGATTCTCCTACAACAGGATAAAAACCTCATCCGTGCTTAAAAACACATCGTTGCTCTCCTCAAAAAACGCAGGAAGCAGATAAGCTGTTTGGTCACGAGTAAAGACGCAGACGTAGTTGTTACATAGGTCAGGAATCATAACTCTGTTAGTAATGGAGAGCAAACTGACCATCAGGAGAACCAGCTACCAGTTCTGAAGGACCGGCCACAGACAGCCCCTCATTGATACTGTTCACTGGGATGCCTCTGGCAGTAGAGGCGGAAGGCAGCTGGAGGCTGGTGGTGACACCTCTGGAATCAGCAGGGGGGGTCCAGCGAGGTATGCAAGTGACTCCTTCTTCCTCCAGCTCTCTGAGGTAGTACTCAATTATTTCTTTGCCCTTAAAAGGAAACATTGATAAAATGATCCAGGAGAGTAGCAGAACCAAAAGCTAAGGTGATTTTCACACAAAGTTTTCCACCAACCTTTTTAATGTTACTAGCATACACCTTCGTTGCTATTTTCTCTGCTGAGCTCTCAAAACCAAAAAAGGACTTAATGTCCAGACTAGCCGTCTGCTCAAAGCAGGTCCAGTCCTCGTTGTCTGGATGAACCTGTAAAGATGCACAAAGCTAATGATGCACACCTGGATTCAGCTCTACACATGGCCTTCAGAAGACTTTAACTCAGGGGTGTCAAACTCAAATTCGCACTGGGCCGAAATGAAACTTTGGGACGAAGTCGCGGGCCAAACTTAATACTTTTGAAAAAGTGACGACAAATTTGTACATTTTCTTTATCAACATATATGCAATTTTGAATATTTTAATTTGGAAACAAACTTATTTTTGCATTAACACTGAATGTGCAATAATGAAATTACACATAGGGCAAGTCCGTTTTAAATAATCTGAGTAGTATTCATTACTTGTGGTATATTCAGCATTTTTAAAATCTATTCAGGATTTATGTGTTCTTGTTGTTTATTCATTTTTCTTATTTATTCTCCTTTTTTTCTCCTGTAATACGTGTCATCGCTGCTGTGACGTCTAGCTTTCCCCACTGAGGAACAATAAAGGGATTTTCTATTCTATTCATCTAATCTGCAGCCTTTCCACTTCCTGTTTACTGTAGGTTAAATCTTTTCTCACGGGCCAACAACAAAATCAAAATATCATTTTATCTTAAATGAAAATGCAACATGTTTCATGTTTTGGAGCAGAAAACCAACATATTTAAAGCTCAGTTTGCTCCACTGATTTACTGTGATGCTCACCTGTTCCAGCCAGATACCTGCATCATGGGGTTGATCTGAGCTGAGGAGGAGACTCCAGGTGTTTTGTTCATCTTCATCATAATAATGACAACATTAGATGACAACAGGTGCTCACATAGGTTTGTGCTGCTGAACATGGAGAGCATCTGAGCAGCTTGACCACATTGTTGTGTGTCGGGGAGGAAAAATAACGACAGCAGCCACAGAGTAATGCTGGTTTGAGCGTGTCGCTGCTCGCTGGAGTTCTATCAGCTCTGTCTGGAAGTTTGTTGGAAAACTCTCTTTCAGTCGTGAACACATTACTGAGCGGTTAAAATCTCCGTTTCTGGGCTTCAACGTCAGAAAAGAGCTGAGTAAACTTGGCGCTGAGTGAGAGGAATATTTAGTTTGTCCGAGACAGCGGAGCTGCAGACACCGGCAGCAGATGCTGGAAAAAACACCGGGGGGGGGGTGGGGGGGGCTTCGGCTCCACGCAGACACCGCAAAGCATCATGGGTGTTGTAGTCTTTGAGGTAAAATCGGCTAGCAGGTCAGTTTTAATATATTTTTGATATTTATCTCGCGGGCCACATAAAAATGCTCAGCGGGCCTTGTGTCTGACACATGCTTTAACTGATGCAGGGGTTGTCAGCTGTTTTAAAGGTCATCTTACATCAGCTCCAACTTCCTGGTTTTTAAAGTGGTTCATGTTGTCATTTTATTTATTTAGTCGCAAGATTAATTACATGGAACTCTGGTTATTTACAAGCATGATCGTCCCCACGAGCAGCACAGTCTAGCCCAGTAGGCATTTCTTAGGATGTCCACCAAATTAATCACGTAACATAAAACTGATCATTAATGTTGGCGTGAAATTCTGTAGAATTTAGACAACCGAAGCTGGTTTGGGCTACAATCGTTGAACGTAAACACTTATTTTATCAAACAGAAGCTGTTCAAGCTATTTAGCTATCTCCATCTGCAAAAGCAAAGACAGTAATTAATAATAACCTTTATGCAAAAACCCACTTAAAACAGCCAAAATGTCCCTTTATGTGCTGAGAATCAGGGCAGCATACTTGAAATTTAAATCAACGCCAACTGGAGACAGTTAATCACATCTGGATCAGAATGTTTGAAACACTAATTTTGTCCTGAGTCATGTTATTCTTTAATATTGTTTATAGACACCAAACAAAAAGCACTGTTGCCATCCCTGGTGTGAAAAACCTGCTGAGAAAATGGAGTTCTGTCAGACGTAACATTGTTCTGCCCGATGATTTGCCTGCTCAGAAACTTCTGATGAAAAATATTCCAATAATGGCAAAAATTGACTTAAATATTTTGCTGACTGATCAGTTGGTCGACCGCTAAGGAAACTAGGTATTAACTAAAAAGCTGTGTGCATATTTTAGAATGTAAGGTTAATTTTCTTAATTATGAGGTATTCTAACATGGGTCATGGTTGGCTCTTACCGTGTAGCTGCAGCACTCACGGACAAAGACTCTACTGGAGAACGTCTCGTTGTGGACTTCAATGTGAAGCGTCCGGTCTCTGTAGTTCAGGGTGTTCTTCTGAATGAAGTAGAGATATTCTACACCAGCAATCTGCATGCAGAGCAAATAAAAACTTCAGGTTAGCAGAAGTCTTCATGGAACATCCTGCTGCTGCACTAACATCGTGTTTTACAGTCAGCACAAATAATTCAATGATTTTCGTTCCGCAAAAGATGTCTGAGGTACCCGTTTCAGAAGTCGAGGGGCTTCAACATCGATCGTGCATCGCCTCTTCGTAACAACAGTGGAGCCATCATCGCTTTGGCTCTGGCTGATGATCTCACTGTCCACAAACACTGGGATCAAAGGACACTTTGGGAACCGCCTCATGTAAGCCTGAACAGAAGAAATGGCACGAGTTAACTGATTCTGGTGTTTTCTACAGCGTAGCACCTGATCTGTTCATCTGTTTGCCCTGAGAGCTTCCCGTCGCACACACAGGTCACTGGTGTTGGTCCTACGATTTACAGCCAGAAAAACAGCAGCGACATGTGACTCCTGTGAGGTGAGGACACATTTAACGGTTTGTTTAAAAGCACTGTAACATTTGATGTTTTGTGCACAGCAACAACCTGCAGCTGTGCCTGCTTTTACGACCAATGATTGCCTTGTTTTTTCTTTTACTGCTCTCAGCAGACGACCATCTGTCCAGGCCAGTTTAAGCACAGCTCACCTGATGACACTAAAGAAGGCGTTAAAGCAACAGGATCGACTTTTTCTTAGTTGTGCAGCTTCTGATGACCAAGAGAGAAGGGGAACTAAACCTGTATGTCATGGTTTATTCTAATTATTACTGCCGACTTCTTTGTGGCTGATGACAAAAAAGCTCCAACAAGAACAACAAAAGCTGTTTTTTTTTCCTTTCTCCATCTGTGGTGATTTTTAGTGTTAAATATCGCCAGAAAGATTCAAACAAAACTTACAGAAAGTCATGACTGGATGCACGTCTACAACTCACGGTGCTAATCTGCTTCGAATGCTGCTACAGCTCATTAACATTAACAAACACAGTAAAAGCAGAACTCAGTCGGATATGGAGCTAAAATCAGATGAAGTACTAAAGTCACCCCCGAGCTCCAACACATTCCCAGGAAATTAAATAACTGTTAATGATTTAAAAAATAGAAAAGGAAATTCCTTAACTGTCCCTCTGAGGAAATGTTGATATAACAGCAACACATCATATATATATATATATATATATATATATATATATATATATATATATATATATATATATATATATATATATATATATATAAAAGATTGAATTGAATTTACCACTTTTGAAAAAACGGTCTAATAAAAACTGTTTACTCTAATATCGGGTAAAGCAGGCTAGAGGCTAATGTTGAGCTAACAATGCTAACGATGAACTAGAGACAACCGCGTTGCTGTTACCTGATGGAGTCAACTAGGGATGGACAATATATTGGGATCAATATCGGTATCAGTCGATGTTAGTCATTTTTTAACATATCGGTATAGGTCCGATAAAAAAAAAAAACGAGCCAATATTATCAACCGATTTTTTTTTTCATCTGGTCACCATTTGTTTGCCTACTTCAGAGGGGGAGAGGGGTGATGTGTATTTGTTTAGTCATGTCACAGTGACTGTAATCATCTCAGAACCGTAAATGTGTGTGTTGTGTGTATATAAAAATGTCAATTCAGCTTTAATAATTGTCATTCTATACAAAATCTGTTGATTTTAGAAGCATTAATATCAGTATATCGGTATCAGCAAATATCGGTTATCGGCCATAAGAGTGATCTTAATATTGGATATCGGTATCGGCCTGAAAATGTCATATCAGTGCATCACTAGCGTCAACTATTTGTCTCTAAAACCGAAGGGATTTAAAGGTGCATTATGTTAGAATGAAGTAAGAATGACATCCTGTCGTCAAATTTGGTTACTGCGGCCCAAGCCCCCCCGACTTTTTCACTCCTGTCACGTGGATGTTGCCAGCTACGGGTCAGCGAAGGCAATCATACACAGTAAGTTCATTAGTAGATAAAAAATGAATTCACTGTAATTTCAAGTTATTGATAATTGAAAAAGCAGCTTGAGATATTTTAGAACCAACTACTTGTTTCTAACTCACCGTTAGCATTGTTAGCTCAACATTAGCCTCTAGCCTTCTTTACCCGATATTAGACTAAAACAAAAAGATGCTGTGGCTCTCAAAACCAGTCAACAGATCTTACCGTTTTGGTGCACTAATCAAGTTTTACTGGTGAGTGTTTGATACAGCCTTAAATAGGGGCTAATGTACTGGTGTGGCAAAAGGGGGCAACTGTCACCCAAAAGAAAGCATTCCTACCATTGCTGCAACCCCAAGCTAGCAGCAATAAAAAATAAAAATAAAAACTGTTGTGGCAAATCAGACATTATGAACATGAACTTAGCATGTCCCATATTCCTCTCTCTCTCTCTCTCTCTCTCTCTCTCTCTCTCTCTCTCTCTCTCTCTCTCTCTCTCTCTCTCTCTCTCTCTCTCTCTCTCTCTCTCTCTCTCTCTCTCTCTCTCTCTCTCTCTCTCTCTCTCTCTCTCTCTCTCTCTCTCTCTCTCTCTCTCTCTCTCTCTCTCTCTCTCTCTCTCTCTCTCTCTCTCTCTCTCTCTCTCTCTCTCTCTCTCTCTCTCTCTCTCTCTCTCTCTCTCTCTCTCTCTCTCTCTCTCTCTCTCTCTCTCTCTCTCTCTCTCTCTCTCTCTCTCTCTCTCTCTCTCACTCACTCACTCACTCACTCACTCACTCACTCACTCACTCACTCACTCACTCACTCACTCACTCACTCTCACACACACACACACACACAGTAGGTGAGCCTAACGGGTTGCTGCACAGGTGATTCAAACCACTTTTCAAGTGTGTTAGAGCTGAGAAACCACTAAAACTTGATGATACTGGCCATCAAGGACCAGAGTTGAATACCCAGGCTTTAGAGTATGGTAGAGTATGCCATATACATCCACTCTTCAACTCCCCAAAAATTTCTAGGTCCACCACCAGTTCCAAACATTAGTCCTTCAGGCTTTCTTAGTTATTTTCTTTCCTCCTTCAACTCACAATCCACAGCAGCATGCATACTTTGTCGAACAGTAATGATCGTTCCCTTGAATCGTGATGCCAAAGCAGACTCTAGTCACGTATTTTGTACAAAACAGTTTACCTGATAATTTTGCCTTAATGACTTTAGTAGTAAAGTGATGTGGTTGCTCAGACGAATGAGTTATTTTAACAATATGGATTTAAAACACTGTGTGGTAGATGAGTCATCCCAAAGACAGTCTGAGTGTCCATGTGGAATTTCAGCGCATTACTAAAGGACTTTCCTTCAAACTTTGGCATCAGTCATTTGAATAATTGTTTTTCTGTTAAATAAATATGAAAGAAAAAAGTGGAAAGGACTTTTTTGATTTGGTAGCAGTCATCCTTACACACACACACACACACACACACACACACACACACACACACACACACACACACACCTTGAGAGCTAACAGACCATGTGACATCTTCTGAGATTGGACGAGAATGCTTTTGACATCATTTTCAACATTTGAACCCTAAGAGCTATGACTGCAGCATTTCTCACCAACACAAGGCCTTAGTTCAAATCTCTGCTATGAAGAGGCAGAAAATGTGCATCTTTTCAAGGAATACCAGTCTTGTAATTCCAAATATACATTTTAATATGAAGACAAAGTATTGCTCATGTTTCACTGAACAATGCTGTTCTATGTTGAGAGCCTCCTTTCTTTTCCATTTTTGACAACGATTCAACTCACAAAGCAGCAACATTCTCTCCCAACTCATAAAATCTTCTAGAACATATAAATATAAAAATCAGCACATGAACAATAAGAAGAAACTGTTCATGGAGAAAATAAATCGGAAATGTTCTCCTAGTTAATACGCAACACTCATTGTATTGCAGACGTTCAGGGCAGAAAAAATAAAATTACGCAAAAACTGAAATATGATTTAGTCCTCGCCTCTGAAACCTCCGAACAGAAAACTCAAAAGAAACCTTAAACATAAAAGGCAAGTTTTCAATCATCCCTTCTTAATAAAAGACCCAAGAGGGTCATCAAGAATATGTCAAGGAAAGGACAGCTATGATGTCAGCGGGTGCACATCCAGTAATATTCAGGACACTGATTAGGACTGTTAGAGGGAGTAATAACTGTCAGAGGCAGGATTAGCCAGAGGCTAATGAGAAAACTCAAAGATAAATGGGAGCAGCGGGCTGTGGCAGGATGCAGTCGGCTGGACTCTCTCCTTTATGCTGCTGAGACCCTGGTCTCCCCAAAGGAGCGGTTATTAGTGTCCACAAAGGGCTCGATTTCAATAACCGAACACATTTCTGAGCAGACCTGTCCTCTGTAATAGGAAGGCACAGATTATGATGTGTTATTATTGATTAATTTCATGATGTGTTATTATTGATTAATAGTAAAAAAGTATTAGCTGCAGAATAAATTACCACCATATCTAAGGGGTTTTTGGATGCTACATAAGCCTTTAGTTTGATGTCTGACTACCAGAAATGAAACTTGAATTAAAAATGACAAACTATGAAAATGTTTAAAATAAAACAGCTATGTCAGAAATTTGGTTTTATTATCATAGATCTGTTCCACTTTTGTTTTGCCCAGAGATCCTGTCCACAGGTGAACAGAACAAAACATAAACACCAGAATGGGAAAGAAGCAGCAACAAATAAACTCAAATGTTTTCAGGAAGTGGTACGACTGGTTCAGCATTTCTGCAGTGAAATCAAGATTCAGAGGTTCTGATGAACTTTATGTCCTGTTCTTATCTGAGTCTTACATAACCACTTAACGTCCCACTTCTATCATACATAATGACTCTTCCTAAGCCCTAGCCCAAAGATCTGAAGAAAACAACTGGAGTTACGTTTTAGGTGCGACGTATGTGTTTACATAGTTGTTGTTGTTTCATGACTATTTAACATAAAATGTAAAAAGATTTCGCTACACAATCATGCAGATGGTGTAAAAGTGAAAAACGTCATGCTGACCCCAGAAGCAAGTCACTTCCACATCAGTAAGGACTCTTGTTATGCCTAAAGCACCAACCAGAAGAGCTGGATGACACTCACCGCCATGACCAACTCAAACGGATGCTTGTAGACCCGAACGGGAGACTGGTACTGCTGCACCATCTTGGACACTCAGCCAGCTATGTACAATACAGGATGAGCGGTTTGTGTTTTTCCTGAAAAAAGAACAATAACCTCACATGACATTGGTTTTTAATTGTGTAAAAAGAGAGGGTTAGCTTAGCTAAAAGTTCCTTCAAATGCTAACTTAACGACTCCACTCTCGGTAACGAAAAAAAAACAAACTTACGGAAAACTTTTTATAGCCGAGGAACCAAAGAGGTTTTACTGAAGCTGTCCAGTTATTAGTGTGTCCATAGTGTCACCTGGACTAGGATAAACAACGGTCCCGAATTTAACAAGAAGTTACAAAACCAACGTCTAAAAACTCTGTTTAGAACTGACCGTTAGCCACGCCCCTTTGGACAAACAGGAAGTGACGAAATATGCTCGGGAAGGTTGTCCGAACCAGTCCGAACTGTGGATTAGGACAGGTGCCAAATAACAATAATTAATACATCATTAATCAATTATTTCAATGTGTCAATGATTAAGTAAAAATAAATTAATAAATTATAAACAAATACATATGTTCAAAAGTAATTAATTTAACGTGTCAATAACTCATTAAATAAAAAAACATATAAAGGCTAAACCTGTTGGTTTGAAACAATGTCAATCATGTTAAAAAGAATTAATGATTATGTAAGAATAATTTAATAATCTAATAGTTCCTGTTGCTGAATTTAAACTGCCATTTGTACTCGTCAACATCCATGTTTTCCCTTCAGACCAGAGCAATCAAAGATACTACTCTGTCTTCTGCATCGCTGCAGAGATACGCAACGACATTATCCATCCTCGCAAGGGCTTTTCAGCAGGTTTGCCAGGACAGACGGAGTTGAATGCACTTTTCTAAATATCTGTCGAAAGTGACAGAAATTGCAAGCCTGTGATTGGTCAGGATGCCTCTTCCTTTAACTTTGTCAACATCATGGCTTCAAAAAAAAGGAAAACAAGAACTGAACAATCTACAGACAAGGAGCAGATTGAAGAACACCTTGCCAGACGATATAAACTTTAATACACGTTAGTACACCCTTGACTGAATGAGTACAAAAATACACAGCAAGAAATATGTGTCATGAGTTTAGATGTGGTGACTGCATGGAGAAGTGGAGAAAACATTTGCCCGTGTTAAAAAATCTCTGAAATACATCAAAACAATAGAGCTTGTGATCGTGACGTCATCACCAACGCAGCCGCCCCGTTGAAGGCGTGTGAGTCTTTACTTGTTGCTTGTTACTACTGTAAAAAGCACGCAGAGTCTCGTTCTTGCGGCTTAAATTAATCTATTATTAATTTGATCAGCTATATTACACAACTCTAGTGAATCGATGCAGTGTTGTGGGGTGACACACATTATCGCCAGGGGAATAAAGGTGGAAAACAAGCTAACTTTTTACCGTTTTCGTGCTTAGAGGCAAAACCACGGAGACCAAGTAGCTAGCATAAAAAAGTCTTGTCGGCTCACTTGGATCGCAGCTTTAAGGTGACCAAACATCACCTTCTGGAGTATTTTCATTCTGGTAAGTTACAGATGGTGGACTTTGTATACATCGTCTTTTTCCTTCAACAGCAACATGCACATTAAACATACACACACAGACGCTACATTCATACACCGGTAAACAAATGCGGGCGCGCTGACACACAACACAACTTCTCCTGCTACACTTCTTCTGTAGGATGACCATTTTGATTGTTTTACTAGAAAAACCAACAAATAAAACATTTACCTCTGTAACGCCCAGCAATTGTCAGTTTTTAGGTACAGTTTGACCATTCAACATCTGGTCTAAATGGAGACACAAGACTGCATGTGTTCCCTTTAAATCGGCCTGCCTTCATCCCATCAGCTGGAGCTCAGAGCCTCTCTGCAGCTCTGAACACATGATAACAAATTGTCAACAATAATGTTCTCTCCACAAGGTCCAAGCTTTGCTTGTCATCCTACAGGACTCTTCATGCTTCTAAATAAGGCACACTTGCAGCTCAGATTAGTTGCTAAATCAAAAAATGATTTCTTAAATTAAATATGAACTTCTAAAACGTATAAGCTAGATAATCATTAAATAAGCATTTGTTTATTGCTACTTATAATAATTATAGTATGATGAAATATTTTCATTAATCTGTGCTCAATGATTGAAGTTTGAAATTAATGTTATGTCACGATTACATTGATTGATATATGTTTCAGCATGTTGATATGACAAAGTCATCACCATTTGCACTCACACAAGAACAAAGTAAAGTAAAGTTAAACGTGTGACACATAGATAGCCCTTTACCCCAGATCAGAGCATCCGGATCAAAGAAGGCGTGTTTCTGAGTTGTCTTGGTAATATTCCTCAACTTGTCAACCTCTGGTTGGCTACACAAATCATAACATGAGAACATTAAAACTTGATCACTCTGGTGATTCACCAGTTCTTGAAAAAAAAGCTTCAGACCAGCCATCTGAAGCAAAACCTCTTTAACCCATCAAAGCTTTTGACACGTTATGGAAATTTTATATTTCATTGCTTTAATCCTATGCACAAATGTCCTGAAGCATGCTCACACTCAGACGCACCCACACACACTGTTCCCCCCCCCCCCAGCCCCCCCCCCTACACACACACACACATTCTCTCTCACAATGACCTCACTCCCATTCTTATTTGCTTGTTTAAATAAACTCTGTGATCAGATGTTTGGGGCATTTTGCCTCATGCATGGGCCACAGTTATAACTGGCTGACTTGTCTGCTCATTGTCCCCTTCTCTCTTCACTACAGGAAATAGGTTTATTGATAAACATATTGATAAAATCCATAAAATAATTTGATCCTTCGAAAGCCGGGGTCCCATCACCTCGCGGCGCCAAGAGCTGACGCCAGAGTACCGTCGACAACCTAAATCTCTTCCAGCACTGAGCTTACGCTGGGGGTCGGTGTGAAGATCTTAACGTCGCTGGGAGGGGATGCAGATCCACGAACTACTCAAGACCTGAGTGGAGAGATCTGGTGAGACACGTTTGTTGTTTGTTAGAAAATCCTAGGTGACCAGAAATAAATTGGTTTAGTCCACCGTGAAAGGATGTTGAACAGATTCCTGGAATGCTGAATTGGTATGGTTACAAGAATGCACTAGAGCGGTGGAGAGAAAGATAAACAGATTCCGGGAATGCTGTATTGGCTTGGTTTTGTGCATTTTAGCCAAAATTAGAAATGCAATTCTGGTGTTGATAAGTAGACCGGTGTGATAAACTGTTGAGATTAAAGTGGTGACGTCCGCCATGAATAGGATGATTTTGACAGGTTCCTTGAATGCTGTAAAGTGGTGATGGTTTTGACAGGTTCCTTGAATGCTGTCTTTATATGGCTTGGTTTTTGAACGTTTTAGCCAGAGAAATAGAAACGTGCTCCAGTTATCTGTTTTTTGTTTGTCTTAAATGTTGTCTGCTTTAATTGTTGTTTGAATGACCGAGAGTGTGCCTGGACTTGCCTTATCCTTGTAGAAAGAAGGATATCGCAACTCATTTAAACATCTGTCTGACATATTGGTGGTCAGATTTTTGAACAGGTTGGCGGACATGCCATAAATTGGATCTCGCTGTATTAGAATACAGTTGAAGGGCAGATCCGTAAGCCTAAACCTGGCCTCGTGCCGAAGAAAAGATGGTGTGGTTTCTAAATATGGGGGAGATAAGAACTCACTAACACCTTTTGAATGAAGATGGTACACTGATGGAAATGTGAATCCAGCAAATGGGGAAAATATCTGATTGATGAAAAACATGTTTCACTGGTATTTTGGTAACCACTGACGTGCTGCACTCGTAGGGTAACCTTAAAGTGGGATTATACAAGTGAGAAAAATGAGAAAATTACAAATGAACTATCAGGATTATGGTTACTCGGAAGCACAGAGCGGTGGAGAGAAAGAAAAGGGTTGAAAATGTAAAACAGAGAGGAGGCAAAGCCTGCCTAAAAAATCAAAACAACCGCAGCTGTGCTCTGTCTGAGCCACCAAGGCCAATTGAGGCCCGAGGCTACTTAACTAGAACATAAAGATGAAAAATTTAACTCCTTGTTGCAAAATGGTCACTACAATGGACAGATTCTTAAAAAAATAAAATAAATAAAAATCTTTGTTTCTGATGTTTAAAATCAAGACAAGGGAGTTCAGCGGATGACAATCGCACCCGGGTGGAGAAAATCTGGTGGGCAGTACCTGTTGAATTCTAAAACTGCATTTTGAACACTCTAAAAAATATCGTTTGTCATCAGCTGAATCTTTCTGGCGTCTGTCAAATGTTGGAACTTGTTCAGATCTCTGATTAGCGGGCCTTGTGATCAGAACAAGGGGAGAAACTGTCTGGAAGTCAAAATGAATGAGACAGCAGATTAAATCTGTTGAATGGAATTTAAATTTTAAAAGTTTAATTTGTTTTAATTCTTCTTGTATTCTCAGCTTGGGAATTTTAGATGCTTTGACACAGAATTTCACTCTCCTCTGTGTCTGGGTTATACAGCAAGGTTGTGTTAGAAAGACCCTGGGCACAAGTGAGACAATATTCTATCAGCCATGTGATTCTTAAGCAGAAATCAGAAAGCTTCTAATATGATTCCTAAAAGATTAAAAAAAAAAAAAAAAAAAAAGGAAGAATAACTCCGAGTTGTTAATTTAACTTAAAAGTGGGTAATGGCTTGTTTTAATTTAAATATGGGTTTTGCACACTTTGAAATTCAGTATGAAGCTGCTGAACAGTTGCTTGTGTTCATTCGTCCTCTCAGGAATGTAAACATCTGCCCATGTTTCGGGACTGGTTGAGATTAGGCTAATGTTGACACAGCCGTTTAACCTTGTGCACTTTTGAATCTGGAGAAACAAAGTTATGGAGTTTCTGACTGAAACATTTAATATTGGTAAAATGTAAACCAATTAATGAACAAACTTATTGCTGAACACATCAAATAGTAAATTTTTGTCAATGACCAAATATTTGTTTTACTGATGGGGCATACAGTATGGTCTTGACTACATTTCATAACTCGGATTCTAGTAAACATGATACAGTCTAAAAAAAAATCTTTGTACCACACCTAAATTTATTTTATAAACAGGATTTAGATGATGAATGTTCATTTGGCTTTACTGAGTGATTCAGCCATTTATTAGTGTCTATATGGAATTTAAACGATATTCTTTTAGCTACTGACTGGTGATTTTGTGGTTCTGGTACAGTTGGATTTGTCTGCTGCCTTTGACACTGTGGATCACAGTCTCCTGATTTCACAGTTACAAGAGTCTGTTGGGATTAAAAGAGTTGCTTTGGACTGGTTTAAGTCTTATTTGGCTGAGAGGTCGTTTTGTGT